GGTAAAGTGCTTTTTAAATCAATAAGTATATCCTGAAAATCATGTATTGTACCTTCACTATAAATTGTGATTAAATATTTGTTTCGTATTGGAATAGGTAATGAATTAATAATAGAAACTAATAATGGTACATAAGCTGAATTTGCTATGTAACGATATAGCATACTCGATATTATGTGACGTTGACTATCTTGTTTTACAATATCACCACGACGTATATGTACTCCAATCAATAAAACATCATGCACATTAATTGAAGAACATTGAATTGGTTGAAAAACACCGATTCTGTTATTTTTATTCGTTTTGACCATATTTGATGTTATATATTGAAAATAATCGGTTGGTTGATAATTAGACGGAACACGAACACCTGACCAAACACCATTATGTTCATTGTATAATTTCCTATGTTGTAGCCACCAACGAATTTCGAAAATGACACCTATTTCCATTAGTGAGGATGTGATAGTAAAAGTTCGATTAGAATAAAATGTAAAACCCGTATTTTTTTCCGGAAGATTAGCTATGAAGCCATCAAGTTTTGTTTTGAAATGAGATTTAATTGTAAATGGTTGTTTACCACGATGATATTGATCAAATGTTTGATTCCATAGTAAATCATATTTAAATATATTCTGTTTAATAGATGAATTTTCTGGACATTCATCATAAGCTGATGAAGGAATATGCCAATGGAAAAATTGCCAATATTTTTCTCTATCAGCATTTGTTTCATCATTAACATGTGCTGCAGTCCAATCGAAATTTACGACTGTTAAATTCAATTTATGTGCTATATTGAGAACACCTAAATACCAGTATAATTTCGATCCAGTACCATCGGGAGTTTGAGAATCTGATGCACTATTTATTAATAAATAACGACCATGTTCACAATCGATGATTGGATGATATGTTAATAAGATTGAAAATTCACTCTTTAATTTAGGAAAATAACGATTGAGCGCTTGTTCGATATCAGGAAGACAAGGTGTATTGTCTAACATACATTCATCCAATAAATCGTGAAAAGAAGATGAAGGTGAAGTACACATTTGTTTAATTTTAATGAAGAAAAACGAACACAATATGGAGTTTAAAATGAATAGAAGAATGCAGCAAATATGAGAACTCCGCCTTGATATAATTTGGGAACAGCCAAATAACAAATGTTTCAATAAATTGACGCGCATATCTAAAATTGTATGTAAAAACGACGGAATAAATATTTAAATAACATCATTTATTATATGGCTGAACTATTTCAACAAATAAGGCAGGATCTTAGAGTGTTGGTGTTACAACCTGAAAAATAATGCTCACAGGTGCACTCTTTCTGCGTAAGTATCAATCTCAAAATTTCCATAAGTGATATGTATGATAAAAGTAACTTATCTCAGTGCTGAGAATCTTTTTCTGTTATGTACATTTGTTGGGAGACAGACAAGCTAGAACGACCCTCACTTCATTTCAAAAGTTTGGTGCTGCATGCTATCTATTATCAACCTTTAGATGGAAACAATAGAATACACTATATTAACGTGAGCAGCTCATGACGGAACATTTTTGACTGTCCAATCACTTTTTGAGTTCGGACTCAGTGCATTATGTAGGCCCTATTGAAGTATGAAAAACTGCAAAACGACAGATGCCCTTAGATCTTCTATTTAGACTTATAGGCATTTTACTGCAATTTCGGCGTAGAGAATGGTATACATCAAAAACTTGAAATGCAATATTTCGAGTTGAGATTAAGCCTACTATTAGAGGATTCCGTGTACCTTCTCGATGTTCGTTTATTTCGAGATATCGACGCGAGAACAACAACAGAACAGAACCACGTAAGCGACAAGAGAGAGAGCATATATAGAAGGGATAAGCGTCAAAGAATGAATAAACAGATGCCGATGAGTCAGGAATAAACATATGACTGTAACATTCCTCCTCACCAACAAAAATGTGGGTCCACACACATTCATAGAGACAACAATACACTAATATAAGAATAAGAAATGAAAAATTGAGAACGCAATTGTAATAAGATAACAGATAGAGAGCCATAGAACAAATAGAAGAAACGATGGTATAATACCATTGCAGAAAAAAAAAACATACCAAAGAGATATGAAGAACGAATGCGATATGTATGCCGACTCAGCTCGGTCAGCTCTTTTGTGATCGACTGAATCATATCGAAAACACGATTCGCTCGACGATTACGATTGAAGAGACGAAGCAAAAACGATTTAGCGAAGAATTTTTGCGTTATAAATTAAGGTTGCTGATTAGACCTTTAAAATGTTCGATTATGAATAACGTAGAATTGATACGATGAGATGAGAATGATATTGAAAATGTTTTTCATAAATAGTTTTGTGCGTATTTTTCTTGGATATAGTCTTAAAAATAATTGCAGAGCGAATACCGAATGCCACGTGTCCGAATAATGTTATGAATAGTTCCATTGAATTATGTAATGCCGTATACTAACAGTGATTCTAGCTCGCGAAGAATTACTACTGTTATTACGTATGGTGATGAATAAAGTTTGTATTCTCTTGAATTCTTCACCAAAAAACTCTTAACATGTATAATTAATCCGTAAATAAGTGCTGATATATTGAGAACATTGTTATGTGCTGGATAGTGAAGTATTTTGAATCCAAAAAGAAGTGAAAACAAAATGAATGACAATATAGTAGGGTCGTAATTAAATAGTCTTGATGATTGGTTCGACGAGGTGTTATATAACTTGACAGACGAAAATGAACCGTGTAACCCATGACTTGTTATCGGTCGTAGTTTACATTTCGATGTTGATAAAGCTTGACAAATAATACCAGTATGGAGTTTTTGTCGAAGTTTGTGCTCTTGAATATTCGAATTCAACGAAGCGGGCGAATCAACTGTGGTTTCACTTATAAACGTGGAATCGATTTTTGGTTTAGACATCAGCACTTCTTGCAAGATATATGGTTGTTCCGTGGTTACTAGATCGTTTTGTTTCATTGCTAATGCTTCTGTGTCAGTTAAAGAACAAAAGGAAGCTTTTCTTGCGAATAATTTTCTTTGTGGTTTAATATCATGAAAATGCCACGACTCAGTACCATTGGGCCAAAATACATCGGGTTCAGTTTCAATGCTTCTTTCTTGGATTAATAAATTTTCTTCATGAGCTTGCTTGATGAATAATTCGCGTTGAGGTTTTATTTCGTGTATGTGCCACGATTGAGTTCCATCAGGCCATGAGTCTTCAAACGAATCTAACTCAAAGAGCGGAGAGGGAGACGACGAGCAAAACGAAGTTTGATTAGTTGAAGATGATTTACTAGCGTGATATGACCTGTAGTGTGCGACGTGCTGTGGATGCCATGCGATAGTGCGCCGAAATTTTTTCATCAGCGTTGCCGATTGCATCGTAGCGTTTGTGTTAGTATTTTTTTTTGAATCCTTATCAAATTGCAGTATCATTCCATGTTTAAAATCCGACCATGTGGTTAATATGTTTTTGTTTAGCTGATACCATTGCTCGGCTTCATCGATCAACAGCCCAATTGCTTGTTTCATTGAGACAGACTCATCAGCATGAATCATTTTAGCTACCATCTCAATGTCTTCGAACCATGCTCGAACACTTTGAATTTGTTTCCCGGTGAAGAAATATAAATGGTCTTCTGCTAACTGTTGATGACGCCGACTTAATTGCGATAAATTCATCGTGGAATATTGTAGCAGCTTGATCAGAAATACGATAATAAATGTAATCTTTTAAAGATAGCTTTTCTTCTTCGATGGTAATAGTAAAGAAGATCGGGTCGCGGCACCAAATATTAGAGGATTCCGTGTACCTTCTCGATGTTCGTTTATTTCGAGATATCGACGCGAGAACAACAACAGAACAGAACCACGTAAGCGACAAGAGAGAGAGCATATATAGAAGGGATAAGCGTCAAAGAATGAATAAACAGATGCCGATGAGTCAGGAATAAACATATGACTGTAACACCTACATATAGTTCTATTTGTGAATAAAATATCTTGAAAACTTCAGCTCAAAATAATGTTTCTTTCCTGAAATATTAGAGCTCCCAAAGTCACCTAAAATGCTAGAATACTTCGGTTTTTTTTGGACTTAGATATCTCCACAAAGAAATATTATTTTGAGCTGAAATTTTCAGGATATTTTATTCACAAATAGAACTATATGCAGGCTTAATCTTAATTCGAAATATCGTACTTCAATTTTTTGGTGTATGCCATTTTCTAGGCCAAAATTGCAGTCAAATACCTATAAGTCTAAATAGAAGACCTAAGGACATTTGTCTTTTTGTAGTTTTTCATACTTCAATAGGGCTTACATAATGCACTGAGTTCGAACTCAAAAGCGATTGGACAGTCAAAAATATTCTCTCGTAAGTTTAATATTCTCCATCCTGAAAGGATGAATCTGGTCAACGTAAAATGCTGGTCAGTTTGTCTTGACTCTGTTTGATCGCAATATGAAGCCATGAGATTTTGACAGGACTTTTTTTGTTATACTATAACTGCGATCCGAAGATCCTGCCAGTACAATTCTAAAGAAGATATAGATAGATATTTAAAGAGAAATATTATGTAGCACACAGGTGAGAAAGATAGCAGCAACAACAGCAGCAGCTATGCGACACAAAAAGTAAATCGTCAGAAAAGGAAAGAGCACAAACACAGAGGACAATACAAGAAAAGAAAAAAAAGATGTTATTAACAGCATGACCAGAAGAAGAATTGTATGAACAGTTTATAATAAAAAATATATATAAGTAAGAGACAGAGACAAGAGAACAAACAGAAGAAAAAGAAACAAAATATCACTTGTTCAAGAAAGTTTCGGGGATTCTGAAGGAGAAGAACCTCATCCATCTCATAGAAGGAGACGAAGGAACTCGAAGGAACAGAAGCAAGCCAAGTAGTAGCTTTTTCAATCGTTGATTGATGGAGGATGAATCTCTTGGATCTTCTCATACAAGAAATTGAAAATTTCCCTTGGGACCAGCTTTTCCTAAATTCAATAAGGTTAGTTTTTTTCGATCAGTAGTTCATCATCAGTAGAATCGACTAAAGCTACCAAATACTTGTTCCAGTAGGAGACACATCAGTCTTCTAGAGACATTTCATCAAGTGCGTACGCAAAAAACTTTTCATTCAATCGTAAGCCGAGCAAAACACGACGAAAATAAGTGTACTAGAAGTGCGAGAGGTCGTTTCTTTGTTTCTCAAAGAAAAGTGGGAAGAGAGAGCAGATCCATGTAAACAAAGGAAGGGAAAAGGACGCGAACAAAGCTCGTCATAATTGCGGAGACGAAGAACCAAATAATTTAAAGGACTTTATTAAAGAAATGCGTTGCCTTACTTTAACCATCGTCTTTTTAATCATTTTCCGCCAGCCTAACTCAGGAGAGATACAATACCTCAGATACTTAAACTCATCCTCCCATTTAATTTTTTCCTCCTTTTCGTGATTGAAAAAGATATCAAATGCAGGTAAACCAATAGCATGAGCGTTAAACAACGCAACCAACTTAGAAAAGTTGATCGGTTGAACCAATATGGAGGAATAGAATTCCAAATGATCAAGGAACAATTTGATTCTGTTTTCAAAATCAAAACATTGATCTGTGTATCTTATCCCTAGTTGTCCAGAGATAACAGCAGCTAAATTATCTGCAAAGAAATGACTCGAGCACCAGAGAAGGAATTGATCCATATCGCAATTGTAAGTAATAAGTAACGCAGGGCTTAAAACACTACCTTGGCGACCTCCTTTTGCGCTCGCAAAGCAACGAGAACGTTTACCATTAATTTCAATGAAATATCTTCTGTGAAGAAGCCAAATTTCAATCCATTTTAAGTACGAGAGGGGAAATACCTAATCTGCGTAATTTTTCTAAGCATCTGAGAAACCACAACTGGTCGAAAACAGAACGAAAATCTACCAAAATAGTACCTACATGTGCACTATTCGACATCAGACTATATATATCCTCTAGAAATACTAATAAACATGTCTGTAATCGAAATTTATCTCTGAATCCTGACTAATTGTCAGGTAAAATACCTCTTCTCGAAAGAACATCACGAAAACGTGTTAGAAAAAGTTTCTCCCCTGCTTCCTAGAAAGAATCAAGGAGAGAAATAAGACGCGTTAGTGCTGAGGCATATATAGATTCCTTTTTAGCTAATAAGATAATTCGGGTGTCTTTCCAAGCATTTGATATGATACTCTTTTGGAAAGAGAAATTGTGAAGTTGTAGAAGTAGAGACCATTGACAAGAATGAAGAAAATTAAACATGAAGTTTGATATGCCATGAGCATCTAGAGATTTCTTTTTACGTATTGTACGAACAGTGAAGAATAATTCTTCTTGTATTACGTCAGAAATAGTTTCATCGTTATTTTCGAATTCTTCTGCGTGAGAATCAGTATAAGGATGAGGTCTTATGATATCGAGTTTCTTAAAAAAATTTTCGTAAAAGTCCGCAGGAAGTTCACACATTTCGTTCGGATCTTTGATGATTTGACCAGATACTGTAACAAAAGCATGAAGTGTAGAGGATGGTGGTTTAAGAAAACGTTTACATTTGACCAAAAGGAATCAGCCATTGGGGGAGAGATATTATGAAGACGCAAAATTGAGGAAAGTTGAGAAGAAAGAAAAGATTTTAACTTGTTCTTTGCGATTTTTTTAAATACTGAACTTCGTTCTTTAATTCTGGGCATTTTGTTCTCAGTTGACGAAAAGATAATGCTCTTACATAGGACAGAAACGATCTTAGTTCAACAGGAAGTGCTGTGGCGTATTTTCCTAGTGGAAAAATAACTGTGCAATAAGCTGTTATGAAATGCAAAAACTTTATATAGCCACTATATGTAGTATCTATATTCTCTAGATTCCACTTCTCTTCTCAGAAAGAAAAATGTGTACTGAGAAGAAAGTGAGAAAACATTCCAGTGAACACTTTTTCCAATACCATTCAACGAAATCTTTATGGAAATAATTATGAAAATAGATAGATGATCACTGGGTGTGTTGCTAGCAGATGTTTGAATATTAAGCTCCGCACTGCACGCAAAGGCATAATCTATCACTCTATTAGAACGCAACGAATTTGATGTATCAGGTGTATACAGGGCTAGAAAATTTTTGTCAGCCCAATTAAATAGTGTTTAGGATTTTTTATTATCCTGTCTTAGATCAACATTAAAGTCACCAAAAACAACACACGTTTTGTTCAGAAAAGGAGAGAGATCTTCCCATGGCCAGGATTTGCTGTCAGGTGCATAAACTTCTAAAATGCGAAGTTTTTCCTTCACCATGATATCTATAATACAAACATTTTATAGCTTGCAGTCAACTTGACTAATGTAAATTACCCATCTCACCATGACTACAACTCCGCCGTTTCAATTCTTCCCTTTTTGATAGAAAATCCTAAAACTAGGGAACACTTTTCGCAGAAAGAGATATCTGTAACACCCGTTTCTAAAAGAATAAGAACATCAGACTTGTGGGACGTTGTGAGCAAGAGAACCTTTTGCCATCTTAGATTGAATCCACGTACGTTGAACGATAAGATGAGAAGAGAAGAAAGATTAGTGTTATTAATATTCGGGACGTACTTCTGCCAAATAGAAAAACACGAGTGTAAAAATGGACTACATTCCCACTCATTAATAATCCTCGAAAAAAGATTACAGTCGAAGTGGGATAGCCATTCATTAGCTTTACACAAAAATTTTTTTCTTTTACAAAGTTTAGTGAAAGATATACAAGAGAAAAACGGGTTGAGCATAGGGTGAAAAGTCATTGGTAAAAATGCTTACCCTTGCTAGCTTTCTTCATTTGAACATGATAACGATCAAGTTTATATTTAAGATCAGCATCAAGTGGATTACCTTTTTTGTCTTGATTTTGTGAACATATAACAGCAAATAAATCTTCAAATATTGGGAGTAATAATCTCATAAATAAATGATATATCATTAATAAAATTTTTAATATTATTATTATTATATGATATTGATGCTGAATGACTGTTCAGATTCAACAGTTTTTCGTAAGTTCAGCGCGAAAACTTTTCACCACCGGCCATTTGAGAGAGTTAGATTTGTGGTTCAGTTGGCAGTGAATGCATTTTTCATTTTGAGAACAGCTGTGAATTTTTAGATCAGTATATTGTTTCTCGCACGTTTTGCAGGTTTCGTTGATTTGAGTACATTGTCGTTTAAAAGGCTCGAGGGCCATACATTTGGAGCAAGTTAAAACATTTGCAGGAGCGAGATATTCATCGATATCATTAGTGATGTAATTACTCATAATTTTTTTGATTCGAATGATCGTTCACGAACAGAGGGAGAAGTTAGTTTGATTTTAACAACCTTAATGTTATTCTGAAGCTTATTTTTCGTTCTAATGACATTTTTAATTTCAGGATAAACAGATTTAATATCCGAACATAATTCTTGAAAATCTAAATGTAAATCTACGTTTTTTATTATCAAACAAAGTTGTGGTGGAATGGATGAAGACGAAGGAAATATATAATTTTCATTAGCAAAAGTAATTGGCTAATGAGAATTGTCTAATAATAATGAAAAAGAAACGGCATTTTTTAAATAAAGAAGAATATCATATTCATTGTTATTTTGTAAAACATTAGACAAACGACAGTTTGCTACTTGAATTATTACCTGGTGATTCTGTTTACAGTGATCAATAAACCTTCTTTGACTTGATTTGTCGTCACTTTTCCTGATATAAATCGTAGTACGTAGGGCCCATGGCGTAAATTTCTGCGAAAAAAACGCGTTCTCAAAACGCATTTTTTCATAGTTGCGAAACGCGTTAATGCTGACCGGTTTAACACATTTCACATCTGCTAATACGAACGCTGTGAAACGATCGTTTTTCTCAAAACGTTTCGTAGCGTTTCTCTAACTATGGTGTCGTATATTCTAGATGGAAAAAAATGAAAACCGTCAAGTACTTCATGCACTTTGAGTTGCAGATACAATTAATTTACTCGCTTACATTTTTCATACACCTTTAGAGCTATAACTTAGATCAATTTTGATAAAGCCAACACATAAATTCGAACACGAGAACATAAGAGTAGAAGACATGTGTACAAACCGTTCAACTAAAATAATCTAATGATATAAGTGCTTATTCTATAGTCTTTCAGAGTCTTCCGTAAACTTACTAAATTAGATTTTCAGTATCCCAAACCATTAAATTAAAAATGATCATTTCCTTGGTGCCTATACCCAATAACGAGTTTGATCTTCTCTTGGTATATTTTTTATTTGAACTTGTTTAAATTTAAATTTAAATACCCAATTGAAACGATTTTAATTAATTTAAATTGTATTTAATATTTAAACAAGTTGAATCTCTTAGATATAAATTTTAAGAAATTTAAAAATAAATTTTTTGAATTGTTTTCTTTATTTGATAGATTTTTGTATATGTAAATTCGTCATCCTTTTATCCAAAAGTATCACTAAATGCAAAGAATCTTCTTTTGTAAATAGAATATTCTTTTTATTAATAAGTCACGCTTACATTAACAAAGTACGAACTAAATTCATATTTAATAGTATTGTACACATTATCATCAGTCACTATCAAGTAGTCCAAATATGAATTCATACCAATAATTATTCAAATTATAAATAACTTCAGATTCTTTTGTTCACAAATAAACAAACAAAGTTGTCGTACACATTATGCTAGCATCAGTCTTTACTAAATCTTTTCGAATTGTTCAATATTTAAAACAATGCTTGGTTGAACGTTACGAAACACGTTTTCTTTCAATAAAAACCTAGTGAAATGAGTTTTCAAGGGAGAAAAAAATATTTTTCTTACACTTAAATGTTCAATATTATTCTAACTACCAATCAGACTTATATAACAGTCTAGCAGCCTAAACATTTAGAAGAATTCGATTTTAATTTTGCGTTTGGAAAGTTTGGGTCATGATTTTCATGTTGAGAAACAGTGCAAGGAACAAAATATTCAAATCCCATTTAGTATAATTTCTAAAATAGTGCCAGAATTAACTTTGCTTAACTCGTACGTTTTGTACAGATAAATTCCTGCAAGATTCTGTATGCAAAACGGATATATTTTACATCATTTCAAACAAAAACGATGCAAAATGCGTTTGAAAGGGAAACGCGTTTCACATTTCTCCGAATCTGTGTCTCTGGAACGCGTTACCTATCGACCGAAATGCGTTCGACATTATTTTACTTCGGAAACGCTTCGAAACGCAATCTTGGAAAACGCGTTTCAGATCGTTTCAAAAAACGACAGCAGCAAAACGTATTCTGTCGAAGTAAGAATGCTGTGAAACGCGTTCTATATTGAAAAAACGCTGCGAAACGCATGCTGCCATCGCAGAAACGCGTTACGCAGTCCGTTTCCTTGAATATTTTACTCCATGGGGGTGGAAACGGGTACTAATTAAGGGATATTGATGATGGTAATGTTGTTGTCCATTATTATCGATATGATGATCATTTTGAACAACTTGACGATCAGCAGCAGTTGGATGGGATGAAGTCAGAAATGTTATGGAGGTACGAGTAGTATCGAGTGTAGGAATATCATTTGAATGTTGAGGATAATGAGGTGTTTTTTGTTTTTATCTTTTGTTTTCTTTACTTTTTTTTATTCATAACTTGTTGCAAATCGTCATCTAATTCATTTGAAGAATGCATACGACGTACAGATGAAGATGGTGAGTTGATGAGTTGCATGTTGGATGATAATGGAGGTGGAATATGATGATGTTGCTGAACTTTTTGATGACAAGTAACATTTGTATTTGTATGATTGTAAACTTGATAATTAATAAGATTGTTATTATCCATATGTAAAACACCATTGGATCTATTTTTCTTAGTAGGATTATTTTGTGATTGATTCTGAATGTTTGTACAATTATGCATATGATAATTAGAATAAGTATAGGAAGTCATTCTTGATGACTAAATATTCCAGAAATGGTGAAAAAATAAACATTGGGTTGTAACATAAGTTCTGCATGTGTTTTCGTTCACTAACAAATTTATTTGACGACAAAGATATGCAACATCAATCAACAACATAATCGCCATTATTTTCGATACCTCCATCCATCTTGCTAGCAATTGTTCAACCCACATTTGTAGAAACTAGCCGCTTGTGATCTGAAAAAGGCAATGAAGTAAATTGGTCGGTGAAGAAAAAAACCTGCAGAACTTATGTTACAACTCAATAAATATTTTTTCCACTATCACGTGCTGGGTGCGTTATTCTATGTAAGGAGAGGACATGTACGTATATGTAAATAGAAATAGAAGAATAGAATGTGACTTATTCTCAACGAGTAGACGAAACGAATGTTGATTTCAGGAGGGTTTATCTTTCTTATTATCAGCACAACTAGTAGTTATGTTCGGGTCGGTCCTATGGTTATTGGGAACGCTCTATCGAATGAGAGGTATATGTATGAGACTCTGTCTTATTCCCAACCCTGAAAGGATGAGTCTTCACAATGCAAAATGCTGGTCAGTCTGTCCACGTTATAATTGGTCAATATTATCAACCAATCAGATTTTAACAGTGGGGAAAATTGACCAATTAGATTTCGTGATTCAGCTGATGTTTCAGAATTGAATCAAGCGAGGCCAAAGCGGCCAATGTGTTGCTTGTATTTTTTTCCTTGAAAAAATAACTGACCATTGTATACACAGATAGTTAGAGAATAAAATGATATATTCAAAAAATATGCAAAACTCTTAAAGGTATTTCATTAGCTTGGCAATCGAAAGATGATGGTTCAATAGAGAAAGTTGCTGCCTTTTTTTATTATCAAACGATATGTCATGCTGATGCTCACGGATCGTCTTCACGTCTTGTTTTATGTTAAACACTTGCAGCTCAAATAATATAATTGTGTATAGCATAGCTCTATTTTTGCCATATATATATGCACTTTGTTGCAACTGTATGCGTTCATTTTCATCAGTAACGACGAACACTCTCGAGTATACTTATGAACTATTTTTTTATGATGAAATTAGGATAACTCGATATAACTACTTCTACATGGAATACAACTGCAAATATCTCTGTACTAAACGTAAACGAGCTTCTCTATACCCTCTCGATGTCTTCCTATAAATATAATTTTTTGAACGACTTTACTTATTCATGACAACTACCGTCAAATATTATGCATCAAGCTCGCAGTATATAAAAACAAGTAAACTCTTGGCTTTTTAATGATACACAAGGAGATCAGAACTTCATTCTTGATAGCTGGATACGAAACAGGCATCAAGACTTGAGAAGTACTTTCAGAAGATGGGGACTAAATCGAAATACCTTTACTATATGTACTACTTACTTGTTATTAAGAAATGACAGATTTTAAGTATAGAAAACATGACATATTTCTATATAAATTTCAGTACGATTCGAAGAGTAACCGTCATACAAAGTAATACCAAAGCATGTATAAATACTATCGCTGCTTGCATTTCATAGAATTCCACGAAAACTACCCAGCGTTTACAATTCTATGGTCACCAATTTCGAACAGTAGATATTTCAATACCATGATCGGAATAGTATGTGTTTACTTCAGACTGTGAAAGATCAACATGTACGGCTGTTACCATATTGTATCGTTAGAGCGAAAAAATTTCCAGTGAAATAAACAATATAAAAACCTCGCCAAAATGTGGCAATATTTTCACAAAATATAATTGTAACAATGTGTGAACTTCAATTTCACAATCTTTCAGATAGTTGAACATGTCTTTAGACGTTCAGCTTTCGAATTGAGTGTGTTCCTAGTGGAAAAAATAATATTGCATACACCTGGATTGTTTAAATTATGAAATATGACTTATTGCTCTTAGAATGTACTCAACTGAAAAATCGAACGTTTAGTGAGCGTAAAGATATACAATATTAAACGCTTCCGATAGATTGCATTTCATACATGATGTTCAACCTTCGCCTATCATTGAGTCGTATATGATATATATCGCCCTCGGTATTTTATGCTGTTATCCTTGCTCTATTGTTCCTCTATATCTATTCTCTTTTTGGCCTCATCTCCTTCTTTTTCATCCTCTCTTATTCTAGTTGCGTATATAAGCATACACTTTATATGTAAATGATACAATGATATGATATGAAGGAATAGAGTAAAGTGTATTTCCATCTATACAATCATCCATTCTATCAGAAATCGTCACACAATCAAATTATTCTACTTTTAATAATCTCATATAACAGTTACGTGTTCTATGAGTGACACATAGAAAAGTTTTCATGGATTTTGGGCTACATTGTGTTTTCTTTTGTACCTATAAAGTTAGAAAGAAATATATATTCAACATCTATGCTGATATTCAAAATTTACTATACTCGTTTAAGGCGGTCTCCTTTCAGAAAAAGCCAATTTTGGTTAAATGTATAGATTTTATGATTTACAGCTTCTTAGATAGAGCAAAGTATCTACTCTCGAGTGCACTATATATTATTGTTTTTATGATGAGATTTAAGGATATTACATAGGTTTTCCTGAACCCTCATATAGGAAAATAACGTTTTTTTTTTTCTAAAAAATTTTGATTTTTACCCATCCGTACTTTCCAGATTTCTCCGTCATTCTAAATGCTAGAAAGCTCAGCTTCGTATCAAAATAAAGGCAAAAATTAGCTCTACAAAACTTACCATAGCTGCATTTTTCGATTTTCCCATTCATGTTTATAAAAGAACTAACTGTTATGGACCTACTTCTCCCTAAGTTTTCTGTATTTCATTTAAGAAGTTTTCTAGGAACATAAGCGAGGAGAAAATTGAACGGTCAGTCCCTATTAAGTTGTAGAGCTAATTTTTGTCTCAAGCACTTTTCAACTAATCGAAACTCCGGCTCCTCGAGAAAAAGAAATATGCCGGAAGAATAATTCTGAGTACTACCGTAGAAGCAAAGTCAACACAATAACATTTTCGACTGATGAGTATAAATTCACTTAACTAAAACCTTTCAAAAAGTTATCATAAAATATCTTATAAGTATTTTAATTCAATTATCCAAGCAGAATTATTTATTTTAAGCATATAGTTCATCTGAATTTCAACCTTTTTTCTTTGAAAATAACTAATGGAGACTATGACGCGAATCCATCAGAGTTCTTTAAAAAGACACAACTATAAAAACATTTTTGCATTTTCAATCTTCGAAACAATTTTTATTATTTTATACTTTATCACACAATTCAATTTATGATCAAATTAGTGCTTTGTATGGCATCTAAACTTGAAACAAATCATTTGTTTTGCTTAGAGACGAGCGAATTTGTTTTGTCTTAAACAAAAAATAGCACTTCTGTTTTTCTCTTCATCCACAATTGCAATTACCATTGTATACAAGAAAAACAAAATATTAACAAATCACAAAAAGTAGACTCATCTAGATAAAATTTACCTATCAAGTAAATGAAGTGAATAACAACAGTCTCTTTTTTTCATTTTAGTTAGAGGCATTGCGACTTAGTCGATCGACCGAGTCACTGTATGTAATGGCTGATCTATTTCGAAGCTTTACTCTTTTGTTTCATTATCGATGACTGTTAGCACGAATGTCGAAGAAACTTGATGAACCATATTAAGTTAAGGGGTCCCTGAAAGATGAAATTTCTTTTTGGAGCATTCAATCTTGATGAAATTTCAAGTAGAGGTGTATCTCGAGCTAGACACCTCATAATAAAAACCTCAACTCGACAGATTGAGTCTACGAAGAATTACCATAATATTATAGATCAAAATTTAGGTTTCTATGCATCTCAAAGTTTTCCATCATTTCAAATGCAGGTTGTGGATGTGAGGTGTGGACGTAGACTTGAGTATGAGTTCGAATGTGAGTTTGTTTATGAACCTGAAGTGAGTGTCTATCCGCTATCGCTGCTTCCTCACATCCAAAATCTCTTGCAGGTACTTCGCGATATTGTACATTCATTTCACTACCCCGCATCTCTGATTCTCCACAGAAGGAAGTCAGAAACACATATGCGAAAACATTCTATTTCAGAATACAACCGTTTGCGTAGATACATACATATATGATCTATCATTTCCTGAACTACCGGTTCTCAAAGTTTTATAGAGTTCTAGAAAAGAGTCTGACAAGGCTTCGGCCCACAAATCGGTATAAATGAAGAAAGTCAAGGTGCTCGACAATATAACATAATATTGCACTAGCAAATAATATCGCAAAAAACTTGATCACCTATGAACTGTCTGGTAAAAAAAATTGTCGTAAATCAATTAAAAATAGAGTAGAAAACAAAGGATCTCAAGCTTCAAAATCTATCTGAAAACGTATCGTTTCGTCTATGGTAAACGCTACAAGAGAGTAACGTCCGATTGAGAGCGCATTTTTACTTCATCCTTTTATATATTTATCATACTTGTGGTAGATGCGAAAACTGATGAAACCTTTCCTAGGCTATTTTTCAGGATGCTTAAAAATTCGAGATCTCTGGTAGGAAATTTAGCTTTAGGCACTTCTGTTACACTTTGAAGAAAAACTAAGGTAATACTCGCTATGAGCGCATTAAACTACATCGATTGATATGTAGCTCAACATACCTATTTAAACAAATTTTCTTGGAAAACGATTTTTCAAGTAGTATACTGTCATTTCTAGTCAAATGAAAGCCGTTTCTGAGCAAAAACCCGTATGCCCGCCTGCTTATGCTAAAGCTCCTCACTGTATATTGGTGCAGCAGAATGAATCCATATTTTCTTTAATCAAACTGTTCATCATACTTTTTACACATTTAATAGAAAATATTAGAATAACATATAATTCTTCAAATGAATTTCTTTTTGAAACTATCTTATTAAACCTATTGTTTTTTGAAATGGTATTGTTTCTTATTTTACTTTGCTCATATTCATTATCCAGAAATTTTCATGGAACTCAACAGTGTTTGAATACATTTACTACAAATATATTGTGATAGTTTATGGATAACAGATTCTATGTTGGATTTGTTGTTAATTTACCAGAATAAAATATATCCAATATAGCATCGTTATCGTAGTTATATGTTTGATAAAATAGTTTTTGTTTCACTAAAATTTATGTATACTGTGGGAGAGCCTGCAACATTATTGTGTTTTTTTTTTCATTCATTTTATTCAATGAAAAAAACAACCTGCTTGTGTAACATTGGCACTATGATGAATCATAATGATTGATTGTATTTTGATGTATTAACAGCAAAATAATAACCTTGATGATCTGTAACAATATATCTTGCTGAGTGTGTTAAGAAATCATTGGATCGTAAAGAACCTAGATAACTATGAATCATTATAGCATTTCCTAGTATCGTTTCTTATATATACTGGTATTGTGCTTTAGAAATAGATGCAGTCTGAAAAAATGTGCATGAATATTGATGTGTCACTTTTCATTTCAATTCATAAATTCGTCAGGTATCGTTCAGTGTCATTTGTTCGAGTAATATTGGGATGAATTGAGAATTACGCACGATCATCATTCATAAATACCATCCTTCTTCTCATCATCATTATCATTATTTGTCCAATAAAATCCAATGAAAATTACAAAATTCTTTTCAAACAACACGTCGAAATTTCTTTATACGAATATTTAAAACTTTGTAAAAAATCAAACACCTTCGATATTTCGGAATTGAATGAAGAGTTATTTATTTCTTATGATAATTGTGTTATTGATGAATTCTGACCAAAAAATATTTATTGTTTAAAACTATTTGCTACATTCGTCTGAAGTAATTTTTAAAAACATCTTATTTTCTGTTTTTCTTTTATCTATTTCTTGTATTAAAAAAGAAATTAAAATATTGAATATGTATGTAATATCCATAAACATTCAATTAATAACTCATGTGATTTATGCAAGACAAACCAGCATATGTTATCTTTCCATCTGAATCAAAAGAAAATCTAAAATGAAAACATAAATCATATCAGACTTAAAAATATCTGAACTGCTAAAATAGATATAGATTATAACAAATGACTAGAAACAATCTGGTGGAGTGTATAAGCAACAAAAAATATATTTTTCATGTTTCTCAATTGGATAAGAACGACGTGCATAATAGTCGATTACAGCTTTTTCCGCTGCTGATGCATTTATCCAATGAGCTTGACAATGATTCATAAATTATAGGACTGTTTTAGTTTTCTAAAGCAATCTATTCTACTTTGAGTTCTTAATGAAACTATATAGAAAATTATGATTTTCACATGTTTCCATGACATCAATATTGAATAGTTGCTTGATATATTACGAGTTGATAAGACGCGAATGATTTTCTCGAAAGTCAAACAATTTGAGTTGGAATATCTCTAATATCTAATCTTCAATTATAATCTAACGTAATGAAAATGACTAGATTTGAGATGGTCTATTTTAATTGACATAATATTTGATTTTGCTTATGACAAAGTGGACAAGTAGTTGTTTTTCCTTTAACATGTTTCCATTTGTTCATACAATTTTCATGCATTGATTTACCACATGAATAAAAACATGTTACTAATCTTCTATTTTTCATGAGTAACCGTTCAAAACATATTGGACAAACATCATTATAATCAATTGATTGACGTTTAAAAGTTAAAGGAAGTTGTTCTTTTTTATTTAAGGGTGATAATGGCGGAACAATCGAACAAAGTCGACGACTTTGTCCTTGAAAAATATGTTCTAACTCAATATTAGTAAATCGATGATATTCCATAATTGAAAGACGAAGATCAGATGAATAAAGATCAACATTAAAAATACGTTTGAGTACAAATAGAAAGTGTTTACAAATATCATTTTTTTGAAATTGTTTACATGAACATGATAAATGATAACTAATGATGATTTTATATCGGTGACGCTTATTTGTATAAATCCAACCTTCAAATCGATCTGAGGATGAAAATTCATGTTGAATTAAATAAAAATGTCGTGTTAACATTTGATCAAATGCTTTATCAAAAATAATTTTTTGATGATTTGATAATATATCTTTGATGGAATCAAGATGTTCAGACGAACAAGAAGAAGATAATGATGATGATGATGATAAACATGATTGCTAAATCAATTTTAAAAAATTTAACATTTTCTTTTTTACGCATTGGAGATTTCTTACACGTACTTGTTGTCTATCATCATTCAATGATGATAGATAGATATTTGCATTGGCTTCACTCTCTTGTAATCGTGTAACCGAGCTCATTGAAAAAGTAAATATCTCAAAAACGAAATAAAGTATTCAAAAACCATGTGTTAACAACAAGAATTGGCAATTCGAATCAAATTTTTCTTTATGGTTTAATCGCATGAATCAAGTTATTGAAAAGTCATCAAACGATACAGCGACGATTAACATAACAAAATACACACAGATATTTTGTACTAGAAGTACAAGATTCCAAATAGTGAACATATGGTTTATCTACTGTGTTTTCTTGTATAGTGCATCATATTTCTTTGGGCTATAATCAATGTTATAGTGTTTTAATATCTAACTAAATTAAAAACATGAATGATAATTTATTGGCACATCCAGTTCTCTTACAATCTTTAGTGATGTTCAGACTCGGTGTTAATAGTATATAAACCGTTATTTACCAAGTACTACCTACTTTCCTTTCGCTTCTACTGTACTAAACAGCAAAAGATTGAAAAAAAATGACTTGTCTTGTATTGTAGTTTCAGAAACTTCTGATTTCCCTTATCTTCGAATGACAAGACCAAGTTGATGCAAAAATATTCATGCTCAATAGCTTGAAGTCTTATTTGTTTACTTGTTACCCACATTCTAGATATTCTCGAAACACTTATCAAAAAGCCAACTAGAGCTAATAATTCGACTGTCAAGCAGACGATTAGTTATGCTAATCACAAATAACTTGTCTAAACTTAGTTTATTGTTAATAACAAATCTTGATTGTGAAATCATCTTTTGATTATACAAAGGATTCAATTAATTTGTCTAAAGCAAACCAACATAAAGAATACATAAAATATTCTTCTCAATTTTGCACATACAAGTGTTAAATTTCTTGTTCAATTTTTTATGAGCGATATATCATATATTATTTATCAACTAGGAGCATTATCATAGCTCATTAATGATGATTGATTTCAGTGTATATAAGATCACTTAATTATCTATATTACTTCACTTTTTAACAACACAGAAATGTTTAATTCTGGATAACTTTTAGTTCTCGTTGAATGATATTCAACAACTATAGACAAAAATTAAGATTTAAAAAAAAACATGTATCTTTTTATTTAAACTAGAAAAAAAAGCGAATCACAACTTCACTTGGGCACTTTCATTTTGTTGGTCTAATATAAGAAGAGCATTTTCAAATCGTTTTCGTACAATATCCGATCCAAAAAAAGTTGCTATTTCATGAACAGGTGGACCTTGTAAACAACCACATAAAACTAATCGCCATATACGAAATATTTGTTTATTTGTAATTTTATTTGGTTGATATTTTTTAATAAAATTTTTTACATCATCATGTGTAAAATGAATCTGATTGAAATTATTTAATGTTTCTTTAATAACAAATTTAAATTGTTCAATATTATCAATAAGATCTTGTTTTATTTCTGGTTCTTTCCATAAATATTCATATAAATTATTTGTAAATAATTCATCAAGTAAAATAATACGAAAATCAATCATATTTAAAACTTTTTCAAGATAATCATTTTGTAATTGTATTGAATTTATAGAATTTTTCTCTGGATAATAATGAAGAACTTTTTGACGAAGTTCTTCAATAATACGTTGACGACCTTCAATTGATTGTTGATATTCACGTTTTAAATGTGCTCGTTGACAAAGAGATAATTTTTTAAAATCAACTATAGCTGCATGTCGACTAAATAATTTTATATTAAATAATGATATCATTTCATCAAGTGTTTTTCCAATAACTGTATCTTCATCCTTAAAACCACCACCACCACATAGAGTTATAAAATTTAATATAGCATTTGGATAATAACCTTTTTCACGATAATAATCAATTTCAATTGGATTAATTGCATTTTCTTTATCACGTTTAGATAATTTTCTTCCACGTTCACGTTCAAGTAATGGTAAATGACCATAAATAGGTGATTGCCAATTAAAAGCTTTATAAAGTAGTAAATGTTTTGATGTTGATGTTTGCCATTCATGACCACGTAAAACATGACTTATATTCATTAAATGATCATCAATAACATTTGCTAAATGATATGTTGGATAACCATCTGATTTAAGAAGAATAAAATCACCTTCAGTTACATAAGGATTATGTTCATGATGACCATAAACAAGATCTTCATAAATTTGAATTCCTTGATTATCAGTTGGTAAAGAAAAACGAATTACATGTGGAAGTCCTTGTTGAAGATATTCATCTAAAACCGAATAATAGCATTTTATTTAAAAATATAAAAGATAATTTAGAAATTCTATTAGAATCAATCTATGAATACGAAAAACTGACTGTCTTCGATTGTTTTGACATGCCAAACAAATTATAAGGCATTAATCGAATCCTCAACTAGAAATTTTCAAAAGTTCAGTATTGGATCTGAGTTTAAATTTCTTTATAAATAGCAACAATCGGACATTTTTCATTTGAATCTCCTTTGCTTTTCATCATCTTGATTCGGAAAAGATTTTTTTTTAGATTAATATTGTCAATAGTAAAATCTTTCAAAAACTATCTATTCTCATATGAAATGTTCAATAGAAAAGTGTGTCATACTTTGTTGTTTTTCTGTTAAATGTTTACATCGTCCATCATATCTATATGGTTGCGAACGTCGTTTACATTCATGTCTTAAAAGTATTAATCGATCGACAGAACAAAAACATCGATAAATGTGTGGTTCATTTTGATGATTTAATTTGCCAAATAATGTATTTAAATATTTTCGATATATGTCAACACGTTCAGATTGTATAACAGGTGATTCATCTGGTTGTAAACGTGTCCATTTAAGTATGGATTGTAGTTGTTCTTTGGAACCGGATACTATACGCTCTCGATCTGTATCTTCAATACGTAGAAGAAATTTTCCATTAAATGATTTTGCAAATAAATAATTATATAAAGCTGTACGAAGACCACCAAAATGAAGGTGCCCAGTAGGTGAAGGAGCAAAACGAACACGAACAGAAGACATTTTATTTATTGTTTTGATGATGAGGATGATGAAGAAGCAGTACTACGTTGAATTTTTTGCATACAACGACGAAATTCTTGCATTTCTTTTGTACAATTTCGCCAATCTTTTTTTTCAATATAACATTCTTGCAATTTTTCGTGAAATTGATAACAACCAGTTTTACGAATAGCTGACGTCACTTGATCTTCGTCTTCGTTATTATCACCTGATGATGATGATGATGATGCTTGATTTTCTGCGGTTTTATTTTTCGATGGTGGATCAAGAACGACAGTTGGCATGGGAAAGTTTCGTTTAGTTAAATGAAATCGAACTTTATATTAAAAAAAAATAAATATAAATGAAACTCTCTTCTGATCTCCTATTCGTTACAATGAAGTTATTAAAATAAACTTTGTAATCAGTGAATTTTTTATGTTTTTATTTATTTCAACTGAAAATCTATTTATTATTAAAATTTATTTATTCATAATAAAATCAAGATGTCGCCATAAATCAGTATTTCTCCAAAAACTAATCAATCATGTTTCATAAAAGTATGATGTTACTATAACACATGTTTGGCGTGACAGATATGTACTACTCTATCATTTTGAAGACAGTACAACAATATGATAATTGATGTTTTCTTTTTCATAATAAAAAAAAAAAACATCCAACTTCTATATAAGGATCTGTTTCAGTGAGAGAATGCGCCGTTTGATCCCGTCAGGATGATTAAAAGATTCTATCAAAAAAACAACCAAACTAGATATATGTTGTATTCTTAATGACATTATATTTTCTCAGGAGATTCTTTCTGATGTAATACAAAATTATTATGACATATTAAGCAAACGTAGAAAAGGTTAAATTATGATTAGAATGAAAGCATTAACTTGTGTACCAGTGACATAATACTTTGTCATTGACTATTTAAATGATATTCCACTAATTTATTCGATTGATCATTAATCGATTAGTAGAAAATGAAAAATATTTTGTTTACTAATGTAATTGTCTCTTTTAAAATGAGTTTCAGAAAGTGATACATTTTCCCATTAGAAAGATTAAACGTTTACGAATTGAATTCGGTTCAAACTTAAAAATAAGTTTTATACCAAAATATTCAACTAGTTTGCTATTGAAATTCATCAATGCGAGATAATTGATGACAATCCATATATTTCTTTTCTTGCAGTTCCATTAAAACATAAGCCAAAGTCAGTGTGTCTAGTTGTTGATTTTGCTTATTCCGATCACAACAACACTTCCCATAGAAATATTCTTTAGCTAATATCTTCGTTTATTTGATTAAATAAGACTATATAACGAAATTTGAACTTAAGATATGATTGATTCGTCTGAACTTGAAGCTAATATTTCTAATCAAACTGAATGAAAGCTCCATCAAATTTATTTAATCAATATCCAAACATTTAATTATCTATATAGTTCTCAACATGAGTCTTTATTCAATCAAAACAATTCAATTGGTAGTAAATATCGATATTAATCAATTATCATATAAAATGCTCAATTTAACATTAGTCCAAAAAAAAAAATAACATTAATCGACCTTGACGAACTTTCGATATCTTTTTTTTACTCCCAAAACAGATCTATGCATTTATTTTATCACTGTAAAAAATAAGACGTGAACAAAATAAAATAAAACTTATCAACATTGACTAATAATGAACAAAACTATGTTTAATAATAAAAACGGTGTAGACAACTGATATGCTTGATTTTTTTTAGTTATTACTTCTGTTGTAATCGTATTTGATGACTTATGTGAAGACCCAATATGACGTCTAGCTATTGAACACCAAAAAAAAAAAAAAAAAAACTTTAAATTGAAATTTTTATTTCAATATTAACTTACATGATTCATCATTATCATTATTATGAATATTCATTGTTGTAGAAGATAAAGTTGTCATAACTAACGATGATGTTGTTGAAGGACGACTTTCTGTTATATATTTCATATGTTTAGTCGATTGAACTAATTCTAAAATCAATCATTAATTCCACAGAATTATA